CGAAAATAGAATTTCCAGAGCCCAGGGTTGCTATTATGTGACATGGAACCAGAACATCTTTGTTTTACAAGAAATCACTGCAGTTACATAGTCCAAGTGCTCAGTGTAACCAGAGTGGAAACTGAGGCCCAGAGAGTCTGTGGCCTAAACCCCTCATGACAGACCCTGCACTACAGTGCAGGTCTTCTGATGGTCTGTTCAGAGCCGCTCATTGGCTCCTGCTGCCCTGGGCCCAGCCTGGCTGCTCAGAGCATCCAGGTTCCCCACATGGTGCTCCCCTGGGACTCTGCAACCTTTATAAAGCGGTAAGATAATGAAAAGCTGACACCGGAAGGCACCTCCACACAAATGCCCACACCAAAAGCCTGTCCCTACAAACTTGCACGATTCTTCATTTTCCTTCCCCACAGAGCTGAAGACAACCAGGCAGCTGAGGGGAAGGCAGGTCAGGCACTGTGCTGGGCGCTGTGAGGTACATTTCAGTTGGTGTTGCCTGCCCACCCTTACTGCCTACTCCTCCTCAGAGCACTCCCTTTTCCAAAGTTCTAGAGAGGGGATAATCATAGCACCCAACCACATGTTGGGTGGACATATGACTTGGCCACAGGAAGAACCTTAACCCCCTAAGGCCATAATGAGGGCTTAGGATGCAAGCTGAACCAACTAAAGTCCTTTCCCGGGTTTTATGGATAAGAGCTGGAGAAGGAAGCTCTATACTCTGTGTTTCCCAGTTCCATGAGCCAAGACAGTCCCATTTTGCTCAGGTTAGCTTATATTGGGTTACTGCTACTTACAACCCAAAGAATTCACACTCCTGCAGGGACAGGCATACCTTTTCTCAGTTCATCTGTATAACCATCTTTTAAGGCTGCTATTACTCAATTTTAGAAGGAAGGAAACTGAGGTTAAGTAACTTGCCCAAGTCCATACAGTAAGCACAGGGCCTTCAAATTCATACAGTAAAAGGCGTTCAAACTCAGGTCCTTCTGCTCGAAACCCATTCAGGATCCACTCATGAATTTCATATTCGCTCAAGAAGGAACTCAACTGCCATTCAAAAGCCAAAGGATGTCTCGTTTAAAAGGTATGAGGACATGGCATGGGAAATAAACAGCATCAAACTAGGGTCAAAGGACCTGGCTTCTACATCTGGCTCATTCTATGACTCAGCTATTAAGACTCTGAGCAAGTCATTTCACTTACCTGGGTGTTTGTTTTCCCACCTACAAAATGAGAAGCCTGAACAATATGAACTTGAGATCCTTTTAAGTACTTAACCAAAAAAGTCCATGGTTCTGCTTTAAGCTTACAGATTCTGTTTTCACTCTGTCAGACAGGATGTCAAGCAGATCTCAACTTGACTGCCAGGCCCAATAAACGGCTGCCTAGGCCACAGTGACACAAAGGATTCTGAGCTGTGAGATCTAGGAAATTAGCACTGGTTTCCATGGTCACAGGGAGGAAGAGAGAGGCACAGCTGCATTGTCACTGCTGATAACCGAGTTTCACCTTCACAGAGGGATGCTGTGGTCCACACTACCGATGCTCCTGGCTTTTGCACAGGATTTTCACCATTCCTTTGTGTACCTCCTTGGTTCCTCTTCACAAGAAAGGAAGGAAAGTAAGGGGAAGCTAACTGGCTTGGGGAATATAGCTGAGAGCCACTGATGAAAATGTCTGCATGGCTTACATGCAGTAAAGGTAGGGGGCGATGGGGAACAGTAACAATCAGTGTGGTTCTCTGTGACACACGGTCTCAGAGGATGCTGGTAATTAGCCTAGGAGTTCAGTAACGTTATGATCACGCCTATGTGACAGTAGTGGAAAATGATCCTCAAAGTAAGAGGACGTGCCCAAGTCACCCACTTCCAAGTAGCAGAGGCCATATCTGAATCCACATCTTCTATATCTGAGTTCCCATGCTTTGTCCACTCCCAAGGTCCCCATTCACCTCACAGACTAAAAGAGTTGACTAATCCAGTTCCCCCTGCAAAGCAGCATACTCGTCATTGTTTGCAGTTCTTCAGATACAGAAAGTTCCTCACCCCAAGATAGGAAGCGTCGTTACCATCTGTTTATAATTTAATGGGCACACATGCATTGAGTATACTTGAATTCAGCGAAATTGAGCATAAAAGTTAAATATTTAAAAGGAGTGATGCTGAAGAAGCCAGCCAATGGGGGAAAATTAAAACTCAACACAGTTTTATTAATCTTAATAAAACCCCTACAACAATTCAGTGAGATGAAAAACTGACATCAGGAATATGCTTTGTCCAAAATGAGGAATGAGAAGAACTAGAACTGAATCAGGTAATGTGCATCCTAGAAATGACAGAGTGCACCTCAAGGAACACATTCAACCGAAGGCATTAATATAACCTGCTACATTTCCTTAGGTCTGATGACCAGAGCTAACCCCGAACCAGACTATGTGTTCTAGCACTGGCCAGACTTTTATGTATAAGGAATCCAGGCCAAATAAAAGAACAGCCAGCCTTCTGATGCATGTGACTGTGGCAAGAGCACAGGACACCCCTCTCCAGCTCTACACTACATTCTGGGGAGGGGGGATTATGGAGGGAATGGTTGCAAGAACAGGAGGTAACACACAAAGCAACCACAACATAAAAATCAAAATTCCTCAAAAGAATGCATATTTTTGCTATGTTAGGAGGGGCAGTGATCCTGAATAACGCAGCCTATGTCCCCATTCTTCACAGATTCTCCAAGCCTTAGCATCTACCCACATCATCAAGTATCAGAATTGGACTTTTCAATGGCACACAATCTAACCCTCTAAGGCGCAAAGTTCTTCTCCAACATCTCTGACAAGCAGTCCCTCTGATTAACTGTCTCCAGAGATGGGAAATTTAGCACCCCAGGGTCCTGTTACTGCCCTTGAGACTCATTAATTCAAAAGCCTAAAGCATGTTCTTATCACTCAGGGACAGGCCTAAGGCCTAACCTCCTTAAGGTTTGCCATCCCAGCTGTGCTTCTTGTCTTTACCACTTGCATATCCCCTACTCCAGAACAAGATCCAAAATTAGCCCAGTGCTCATAAATCAGTGATTTCAGAGTTAGAAAGGGACCTCCCAAAACCAACTGTGACTTCGACAGGAAGAGCCTGGGCCAACCTGGGGGGAGGTAGAAAGAGAACGTCCTAGTTTCCTTTCCTCTCATTTCAACCTGAGAAGCGCTTCCTTCAATCTGCTACAAAGAGGGAATCAACGCAGTTTAAAAGTCTTCTGCTGTTTGAAGGGGAAAAAAGGGAACATTTACAGGTAAATAAACTAAGGCCATAAAACTTGCTTAATAACCTCATAGAGCTAATAGTTGAAGGGTTAAAACAACAACTTGGTCTCTTGGCTCCTTCTTTAGTGCTCTCTCTACCACATAACATTCATCTGCCAGTAGAGCAAAGTTCCCACATTCCAGCCACACTCAAATGCTTATCAAAACAATTCAGTAATGTTGCAGAGTGGCTCATCATTATTTGGAGTAATTCAGACAATATAAGTTCTTCCAAAAAACAAAACAAAACAAAACAACCCTGAAATATCATTACTAATTTCTTTGCAATTTAATGGGTAGACATGCATTCAGTACACATAAATTGAGCACAAAAGTTACTTATCTCCACACCTTTGTGTACACTCTTAGTATCTCCGTGATTCTCTGTACTGGAATCAACTAGTCCTCTTCTAAGATTTGTTTCAGGCATCACCGCCTCTAAAAGGCCTTTCCTGGCCCTCACGTAGAGCGGACAACATTCACCTCCGTACCGTACACACTATCTAGGAGGAGGTATGGTGCTTTTGTTGTTACTGTCTCCCCCACCACTCCTTTTAAATTGTGATATTCTAACAAGGTGCTGGACAGAAGGCAGGTGCCTAATAGATGTTTACTGATGGACTGAGTGTCTTCACCTGGTCCAATCCGCCTTCTGACCCTCCCATATCCTCTGCAAACTGCCACACATTAACTCGTGCATATATTCACTGAAAACTATCTGAAGGCCTACAAAGTACCAGGCATTGGACTGCATGCCAAAGAGAAGGGGATATACCATGAAATTCATGAAGTTTTAGTTTGAGGGCCACTCACTTGCCGCTTCCAAAGCTCTGAACCTCTTCCTGTGATTTTGTACTCCTCTTTCTTAAAAAGGACAGAGAGAACTGTATAAGCTTCAAGCTCCACAAATACTAGATCCACCCCTCGGGCCAAGGATATAAAAGTGAACAAAGCCAACATTCTCCATTTAGAGAGTTTCCTGTTCAGTGGGGAAGACAGACAATCGTCTGTCCATTCGTTCATTCAAAAAACATTTCCTGGGCATCGCTAGGGGTCGGGCATTGGGATTCTGAGGTGACACCAGCTCTCTTTTTGTCTTCAAGGAGAAGTTCCCTGCTCTCCTGAACGAAAGCCTACTGTTAGGGAACAGAAAGCAGTTTAAATAACAGTGTTTGTGAAAGGTTACCCTAAACCAGTCTCAAGACCTACTGATCCCCAGCATGTAGCCCTGAACCTATAGCAGGATGCAAGCGGAAGGGAAAGGTCAGGTATAATATGATCTTTGATCTCACTGAGCCAGGAAGGGGGTGGAAGAAGAGGGAGACGAAACAAGTCAACAGAACAGGCAAATACACTGTGGTCGGTGCTGACACACAATAGCAAAGGCCTGTGGGGAAGTCTCCCCGACGTCTAAGTCTGCAGTGACCGTGACCTCAATACCTCGCCAAGCAGCCCAAGAACTGCATACAAGAGACTCTCGAGTTCCTCCAAATGTGTTCCCATTTCCCGAAATAAGGCTGTTCCTTTCCCAAGACAGCTGGAGGCTCCCTGATACCAACTCTCCTGTCCCCACTTCGGACCACTTTCTTCTCCAAGCTGCTCCTTCAGACAGTGAATACCCGACAGAGGCAGGTTCGGGGCCTGGGGTCCCCGTCGCGGGTCCGCCCCCCTCGCCCGCCCGCCATTTCCATAGCAACCAGCTCACCACTTCCCGCGCCCGGCTGGAGAAGTCGCCCTTGGGCCGGGGGCTCCGGCGGAACAGCTCGTCGCGGCTGCCATCGACCCCGCCACCCACTGCCACTCCCAGCGCTTTGTTGCGCGTCTTCACGGTCTTGACGCTGGCCCGGAACAGCAGCGTGATATCCACCGCCATAGCGACCTACACCTCCGACCCCCTTCCTGGCCGGCACACGTCAGCAGCTTGCGACCGCGGCGTGCGCCCGGCCGCTGGAGGACCGTTTCCGGCTCCGCACGCCTCCCCCGCCAACGCGACGCGAGAAGAAAGGTTCCGGCATCCGCAGGGTGACCGCGGTGAGAGGCGAAAGGTTCCGGCCTCAGCCCCTTTCTCCTCCCGGCAACCTCGGAGGCCTTGGCCTTGGGGCGGGAGGTCCGGCTTGGGGCGTGTGGGCCCCGGGAGCAAGAGGATCCGGAAGCCAGCAGATTGACTACCGTTTTTTGGCTCTCCCACTGACTGGGCGCGGGTGCGGGGAGTGGGGTGCACTGGAGGCAACCCTTGACCTCCAGGACTCAAAGCACGTGGTCGGTGACCACGTGCTACGGTAGAGCAGGTGAGCGAGGCACAGAGCGAGAGGACAGGGGCCATTATTTTTCAGCCTACGGCCACCAGAGCTGTAAAATTAAGGCAGTGTTACTGTGACAGTTGAAGGCGGTAACACGTGTAATGGGAACACATTTGGCGCTGCTTGGCTCGCAGTGGCCAATAAAAGTTACCGCTATTAGTAAGAACGCTGCTATCATTCTTCTTATTATTGATGCTGGAGAAGAGTACAGTAGAGGAGGCATCACCCAGAGAAGGCAGATTTGAAAAGATGAGGCGGAACTCATCAGACGAAGACAAGGGCAGAAGAGTGTCCCCTGTTTCTGTTCATCCTTGACATATAGCTTTTAAATACCCTCTTAAGTCGTAGTAATTTAAGTTAACCACATGTTAGCCAATGAGTTCTTTCTGTATGTTGACTCAAGGCTCAGATTTAATTTACCTGCTGGTTGCTCTTTCTTTTTAAGGAGACTACACGACTAGGGTGCGTTAAAACAGCGGTTGGCAAAGCGTGGTCAGCAAGATAAAAATTATCTTCCTGACACCAAGATGCTGCCTGCTTTTCACTATTGTTCTCTCACAAGTTGTACACAGTTGAGTTTTCCAGAAGCCGTGTGATTTGTGACATTGCAAACATGCTGAATGCAGAACAGCTGTCTTCTATTAAGCCAGACTTTAAAGAGGTTTGCAAAAATGTAAAACCGTGCCATTTGCGCTAACTTTGTTTCTGAAGTGTATTTTTTTCACAAAAGGATCTCATTTATGTTAATAAGGAATGGAATTATTTTTGTTTTTAAATGAATATTTTAGGTTTTGGTTTGAATTTCTAATGTGGTAAATATCAATAGATAAAACACATAGAAACAAAGTGTGTTTAGGGTTGTCAATAATTTTTAAGAGTGTAGAAGAGTTCTGAAACCAAAAGTTTGTTTTCAATAAGTTTATGAGAAATAGATGTCACATATACCTGAAAGGAGGAGGGAAAATGTTATTTAAAACCCAAACTGTAGCCACTTCAGCCTTCTTCTAGGAAGAAAAATAAATGTCCACACAGCTTTCTTACACCCACGTAGTAAGAGAAAATGAGAAAGAAATTACTAGATCTTTGCCAGTGATTCAGTATTGCATAAATGGCCCTTTGTTTTATGGAGACATTAATGAATCTTTGGCTATGTAAAGTCAAGCCTGGGGCAGAGTAGAAGGAAAGAGAATTAAACAGCTCTGCATAATAAAGTGAACGGGATTGAATTAGGGGAAAGCTGGGGAAACCAGAATCCTAGGGGGAGGCCAGGAAAGGAAAAAAGTAGTTCCTGGAGAAATGTTTTCAAGTGGGAGGGGGCTGAGCTAGCTACACCAGACCTTCAGTGAGTACTGCCTTGTAGGATTCCTGTGTTGGGGGCAGTTGGCTTTGGGTGGTAAGGAGGGACAACGTTCTAAGTTTTCAATCTGCATCTGCAAAAACAACGAAGGTTGTGGAGATGACACCCAAGTGAGCTTGAAACATCAGGCACTAAAACCACAAATGACTACAATGTATAAAATTACTCAGAAAGTCAGAGACATTTTGAGGAAGCTCTTGGGCTGCACACAGACCACAGGCTATGATATTTCACTGGGGCTTTTTGTTTTTGGTGTTTTTGCTCTTTTCACATCAAAGAGCAATGTGACTTCAGGTTGGCATTTGAAACCCTACAAAGCTGAGAGGCACTGTGGTGAAAAAGGAAGAACAGAATGTCTTGGGAATGAACTACAAACTGTCCAGTTTGACATAGAACATACATTATGTTTCATAGGTAATAACACCTATTCATTAGGCCAGACACTTTTCTCTTTAAAACAACAACAACAGTAAGTCATATTGGAATCCCTGAATGTAGCTCCCCATAACAGCATCCTCCATACAATCAGGATAGATTGTAGAATCTTTTGGGGACTCACAGAACTCATCAAATGCAGCCTCTCTCCAACAGAGGGTATATTGCACATCCAAATGCCCAACCCATGACAGGCATGCTACGTATGAGAAATAGAATTCTGTTGTTAGCCATTCAGATTTTTGTTACTGTTACATCCTCTAGAGAGGTTGGTTTTATAACCCCACTCAGTGAGGGAAAACGGTAAGCAGGCATTTGTTGTATGGAGTGTGAATTCTTGTAGGTAGTTTGGGGAGACCAGAGTTTTTTGGATCCACAGGATCATGGACTTGCTGAAGACCCTCTGTACAAGTTCATTTTATTATTCATCTCATATTCATGTCACCTCCTTAGGAGAGGTTTATAGCTTCTTGACCTATTAAATGACTCTCTTGGCCAGGTGATTCCTCTTCCCCGTGAAAAGTGACATGTGTTACAAATGTAGGAGATAACATGTAGTCCACTATGCTCTCTTTTCCCTCTGCGATGACCCATAGTGTTGTCATCGCAGTTGTAAAGCGTGAAGAGGACGGACTACTGGTTCACACCTAGATCAAGTCAATAGTGTTAGACTAACAGAAACCCTGGACGATTGACCATGCCATGGTAGAAGTCACACTGAAAGAGGACAGGACTGAAGAACATGTATTTTCAAATTAGGAAGTGGACTTAAAAAAGAAATTAATTGAAAAAAAATTTTTTTTCTCATAGGCTTTAGAAAGGACCATGATTCTAGGGATTGGAAGCTCAAAGAATAAACTTTTGTTCTTAAGAAGGAACAGACAGAGCTAATAAATCAGGGTGCTGGAGAAGATGGAACCTCTGTGTGTGCCGATGGGAGTATAAATTGGTGGCACCATGTTTGAAAACAAAAAATTAAAAATAGTACTCACTTAGGGGTGCCTGGGGGCTCATTGTTTGAGTGTCCAACTCTTGGTTTCAGTTCAGGTCATGATCTCAGGGTTCTGGATAGAGCCCTGGGTTGGGCTCAGCTCAGAGTGTACTAGAGATTATCCCCTAAGCCTCTTCTCTCCCTCTACTCCTCCCCCTGCTCAAGGCTCTCTCTCTTTCTAAAGTAAATAAATAAAATCGTTTTTAAAACGGGGGGAGGCACCTAGGTGGCTCAGTTGTTAAGCAGCTGCCTTTGGCTCAGGTCATGATCCTGGGGTCCTGGGATGGAGCCCCATGTTGGGCACCCTGCTTAGCAGAGAGTCTGGTTCTGCTTCTGTTTCTCTCCTGCTACCCTCCCCCACTCATGCTTTCTTTGGCTCACTCTCTCAAATAAATAAAATCTTAAGAAAAAAAAAAAAAGAAGAAGGGTGCCTGGATGACTCAGTCAGTTAAGTGTCTGTCTTTGGCTCAGGTCTTGATCCCAGAGTCCCAGGATCAAACCCCACATTGGGCTCCCTGCTCAGTGGAGAGTCTGCTTCTCCTTAGTCTACTTTCCCTGCTCATGCTGTCTGGCTCATTCTCTCAAATAAATAAATAAAATCTTAAAAAAAAAAAAAGAACTACCATATAATCCAGCAATCCCATTTCTGGGTGTATATCCAAAAGAATTGAAATCAGGAGCTCAAAGAGATAACTGCACTTCCACCTTCATAGCAGCATTATTTACAATAGCCCAGATTTGGAAGCAACATAAATGTCCATTAGCAGATGAATGGATCAAAAATTGTGGTACATATGCACGATGGAATAGTATTCATCATTAAACAAGAAGGAAAACCTGCAATATGCAAGAACATAGATGAACCTGGAGGACATTATGTTATGTGAAATAAGCCATTTGCAGAAGGACAAATACTGCATGAGCCACTTATATGAAGTATCTAAAATAGTCAAAGAGAAGGCGAGAGTAGAATAATGGTTGTCAGGGGCAGGCAGTGGAGGGAGGAGTGGGGAGTTGCTGACTGATGGATATAAAGTTCCAGTTAAGCAAGTTGAATGTGAAACACAGTGCCCAAGGTTAACAATACTGTGTTTACACTTAAGGATCTATTAAGAGGATAGATCTCATGTTAAGTGTTCTTACCACAATAATGAAAATTTTAAAAATGAGAGGGAGGATTTTTCCCAGATCTCTGTCATGAGCATGCTATGAAGAAGGCACACATTCCAGTTGTGTCTTTCTACAATGCCAGCTTTATTGTATCATAAAGCAAGGTTACCATGATCATAAAGCAGATTCAGGATTCCAAACTCAATGGCATTTCACCATGTGTTTTAGCTTGGCTTCTTACATGTCACACAAAGCAAAGCACAAGACAAGTCACACAATATCACACAAGACAAAACAGAGGGTAGGAAGTTAATGAATCAGACTCCAAGTCACTCTGTGAACATGCAGTTGAATGAGCCCTCCATTTGGTCCAGGTCAGTTCTCAGCACTTATTGTATTATATTCCAGCAGTGAAGGATCTCCATTCTTTTCAGAGATCAATCAGGCAAAGCCTTCTGGAGCAGTTGCCTTTTTGAAGTGGTCAGACATAGAGGGGTCAGTGTCTGAGGAGTCTGACAGTTTGCTAAAAAAATCTTCTCTTTTTAAAGGGATTTAATCAGTCTTGGGCCTTTGCAGACCTTCTCTGTTTCTGCTGGCTAGCAGTTCTGAGTGTGTCTGGTACTGGCAATGCCCTTGGCTGCTTGCATCATTGCTTGACACAGACCCCTGCCTGACATGAGTGACTTCATCTTGCTCGCTACACTCTTACAGGAGAAAAAAAAAGGAGGGAAGGGGGAAGGCAGGAGGAAAACACAGAAGG